ATTCAATGAGATTTGCGAACAGATCTCCGCGAGATTGAGCCTGTAAGTTCTTTGCGATGCTCATGCACTGGTGAAGGAATTGAACCGCGTCTTCGCGCTTGTTGGCATCCGAGGGAGCAGATTCCGGAGCAAAGAGGGAGAAGAGTTCGCAGAGGAAAGCGCCGTTTGTCTGCAGGTGCTGAACAATGTCGACTTGGTTGAAGAATATGAGGGAGTTGAGGACGGAGAAGGTTGGATCGTCAAGAATGCGCGCCAGAACGACGTCCTTGAGGTACTGCAGACGCCAGGTGTGGCGTATCTTACGTAGGATGATGGGGTCCTTGATGGGGACGACTTCCTTGTAGCGAGTTCGATCGTTCAAGTACTGACGATGGTTCGCCTTGTGTGTGGGGAAGTCCGGATCGTACTCTAGGGCACCGACGACGGCGCTGATGACGGGGTCGGAGACGACCTGTTCGATGATGGTGTTGTCGTTGAGGAGGATGAGCGCCTTCATGATGTTGCAGAGGCGGTGGAGGTCAGCCAGACCCTCAAGGTCTTCGGCCACGGAAACGAGCGGAAGGAGTTTCATGATGTACTGTTCCTGGATGACGAAGCGGGCTATGGCGTCCCGGCCAGGCTGGGTGGCACTGGCACCGACGATGAGATGTTCAATCTCTGCGAGATTCGTCAGGTCAGGAGAGGGAAGCATGATCGCGCTGCGCATACCATCGAGGGCGTCGTCGGAGAGCGAGTCATCTACCGAAGCTGTCAGAGTTTTAGACTCCAAAGTTACTGTGTAGAGTATATGTACCTGGGCCCAGGGGAGCCAGATGCTGCTGAACATGGCGCACAAAGTCCCTATCGAGGCGTCAGCTGTCTGTCCGAAGGATATCTTCTCTCCTGGCTAATACCATATCACTCCACACCCCTCTGCTTCCTGAAAGCTGAGCGCCATATCCGTGCCGTTCTGTTCCGTCCATACTATCAAAGTTTCTACGGCCGTGTCAGTGATGTCTTTGTAGAATACAACAAGCGAATAAACACCTGCCTTGCTGCTTCTGGTATCCGTCCTCCCTTGAGATGCGTGTCTCGAGCAACATGCGGTCTGGCTGGTCTTCAGACTCGACAAGTATCTTTGGTTCATCCTGTCCGCCGCAGTCAGCATAAACACCACATCTCACTGTAGCACTATCAGGCAGACGCACGTCTGTTATCTGGCCGGTACAGAAGCCCGTCCCCCGGTCGAACCAGTCGTTATTCCGCAACTCGTAGACCTTGACTCTCTTCCGGTCGTTCAGCTGCGGCACAGGGAAGGACATGGCCATGGCCACTGGAGAGAGAGAGAGACGCTGCCCTCCTATCCGTATCTCTATGTATTATATATCTGATGTATCGGTATGAGTCGTGTGCGGTTGTTGTTGTTGGCGATGACGCGCAAACTCTGCCTCGGCTTGCGCAAAGCGCGGTGCGGCGAGAAGAGGCAGAGAGAGCGAGCGAGGGAGAGGGAGAGCCCGTCAGAGGGCGAAATGGAGACTCTCCTCAGGCGAGAGATGGCGAAGAAGGGCGACGTGGAGATGAGTCTACATGTATCGCCCTCGCTGGTGAGGCAGATGGAGATGGATGATGGTGGATGGGGGCCAGGGTGGGAAGAGGAGCGAAGAGCCAGCCAGCAGGGGACGGCCACGCGAGACCTGCAGACCAGCCAAGGAAGACGCAGAGAAGAGATGAAGACAGCAGAGAAAAAGAGTAACAACTGATGGTAACAAGGGGTCTGCCAAAGTTTTCTTCGTCGTTGTTCGTCCTTGAGCTCGAGACGGTCGAAAAAGTCGTAAAAGTCGGAGGTTTGGCGAGTTCAGCGTTTAGAGATACTTAAAGGTACTTCTTTGACCACCAAAAATAGCAGAGAGATAAAGTATCGTTAAGTACCTCGCTTACTGCGTCTAGATGAAGATGTACTATCTACTATTACTTCTACTATTACTACTATTACCGTTACTATTACTGTTGCTATTACTATATTATTACTGTTACTGTACCGTCATTACTATATTGCCCTCTGCTGCCGTTACTGACGGACCGACTGCTTGCTGCTGGCTTTGTATTTCCTTCTGTCCGTCTTTCTGCTTCTCCTACTTCTCCTCCAACTCTTCTGCTCATCCACGGATATCTTGTCTATGATAACTTCTATGATACTTCTATCATGTCGATTCTACTGTCGCTGTCGACTTGTCACCAAATTCTACCATGCAAACTTTACTTTTTTCTAGCGTTTTTTTCTTTTCTTTTTTTCCCGCCGTCTTCCATCTTCGCATCGAGCGTTTCGCTTCTCTTTCTTCCATTCACATCGCATCGCAGCAAGCAAGGCAGCTCGTATCCCTCCTCCCGTCTCGAGACGGTCTCGATAATCAGCAGACGACTTGGGGAGTTTTGCGTCTGCTTCGTCTTATAAAGCTCCCTCCGGCCTTCCCATAGCTTGGGCACCCCCCTCACAGGTTAGACATACAGCTACCTACGAGCATGGATAAACCAGATGAGATTACAGAGTCTGCGCGCTCGACGCCGTCGCAGGGCACTTCGGCTACCCGTCCGTTGATGAAGAGTGCGGATGCGACAGAGGGTGCAGTGCGCGAGGCTGTGGTGGTGGACGACAGCGCGGAGAAGGAGAGCTACTTTGCCTACTTTCGCACCAAGCAGTTCTACATCGTCTTGCTCCTGGGGTGAGTACGTCTAGGAAGTAGAAGAAAAAGAAGAAGTAATAACGATAATAGGCAAATACTGGCCCTCTGCATCACGGCTACAAACACCTTCTCCGGCCTGCTGTCTGCCGCAGGAACATCCATTCCGTCCTTCCAGACGCTGTTCAACTACATCCTGCTGACCATAGTCTATACCTCTTTCACCCTCTATCGCTACGGCATCAAGAAGTGGACTCAGATCGTCTACCGTGAAGGATGGAAGTACATCATCTTCGCCTTCTGTGACGTGCAGGGCAACTACTTCATCGTCCTCGCATACCGCTACACCACCATCCTCAGCGCCCAGCTCATCAACTTCTGGGCCATCGTCATCGTCGTGCTGATATCTTTTACCCTGCTGCGCGTTAGGTACCACTGGGCCCAGTACGCCGGCATCCTCATCTGCATCGGCGGCATGGGCGTGCTCTTTGGGTCAGACCACATCACCGGCGCCAACAGTGGACCGTCCAAGTCTCGCGGCGACTTGATCAAGGGTGACCTCTTTGCCCTGCTCGGCGCCACCTTCTATGGCCTCGCGAACGTGGCGGAGGAGTATCTGGTTAGCAAACGGCCGACGTACGAGGTGCTCGGTCAGCTGGGCCTGTATGCCATGATGATCATGGGCGTTCAGGCCGCCATCTTCGACCGGGCCTCGTTCCAGAATGCGGTATGGAACAGCACTGTGGCCGCCTACCTGGTCGGCTACACGCTCTGTCTCTTCCTCTTCTATTCCATGGCACCGTTCCTCTTCCGCATGGCCAGCGCGGCCTTCTTCAACATCTCCCTCCTCACGAGTAACTTCTGGGGAGTGGTCATTGGCGTCAAGGTGTTTGGGCTGCGCATCCATTTCCTCTATCCCATCGCCTTTGTGCTCATCATCGTCGGCCAGTTTGTCTACTATCTCGGCAGACAGGCGGTCGGCGAAGCCATGAAGCCATGGCTGGGTGAGAACCAGGAACGTGGAGTCGTCGGTATCGGCACTGCCAGAAGAGCACGCGCAGACGAACGGCCTGACGCCAGCAACGTCTAGCCTGTCTCTCTCTCTTTTTCTTCTATCTTTCAGCATATACATACACTATATAACGTCAACATCAACAACAAAAAGCTATTTCACGGAGTTTGGACATATTACTTTACATCCTTTTTCAATAATACAGAATACGAACAAGTTAAAAAAGATGACACTATTTTGCAAGGCACCGACGAGGCTAACTCGACAAGAAAGAAGCAAGTAAGAAGATATTTTAGTTTCTCAAATTTATCTTGTCACGAGTCGCTAATAATTGACTAAAACTAACCATCCCATGTCACCGATTCAGCCAGCCATCCGGCCCGAGAAAAAAGCAAACCACTCTTATGAAAGCGGCAGATAGATGAGAGAGAGGGAAGATTACAACTTTGGTAGTAAGTAACTGTACACTCCGTAAAGCAAGAGAGCGAGCGGACGAGCGGACGCAAAGAAGGGTAGTCGTAGGAAGAGAGAGAAGAGAGACGGAACAAGCCTAGAAAGATGCAATTAAAGACAGAAAAACTCCGGAATGAGAAGAAGCACGGCAAGAGGTATGAAATAGGAGAAAATGAAGAAAAGTCCAATTCCAAGGCTTCCAATACAGCCAGTATAGACAAGTCGAAGTTGCGCCTGTCTTGTATCTATGGCCACACACCGCACCGCACCCAGGTTTAAACACACAAACATAACGACAACCCAGGAAGAGAAAGCAGGTAAAAGCGAGAGAGAAAACGTTTCCAGTCCCAGTAAAAAAAGCCCCTTCACCCTCCTTTCCAATGACGACAATGTAAATAAAACCCCAGCACAACAGGTAAGCAAGACAGGCGATTAAAACGTTGTGGACTCCGTTTCCAACCCCTCGAAAGACAGGAAATAACCAAAAAAAAAAAAAATGATGATGTGGGAGATGAAGATAGAAAAAGGACAACAATAGCATCACCAGAGCCGAAAAAAAGGGGAACCCACAACCAGATTAAGTAACCAACAGCCAAAACCCGCCAGCCTAGAGAATGTAGGCAAGGTAGACGGTAAACACGACGAAGCGCAATGATATTTCAGGCAGAAATAACATCCCTTTTTTTGCTTTTGGGAAATATGGAGAAAATAGCAGCGAGTGGTCTTGGTCAAGACGGATTAGCCCCAGACGGAGGCCTGCACGCCAAGCTGGTTCTTGCCTCGCCATCCCCAACCGAGTCCGACGGTGGGAGAGGACTCCTTCATGGGCTGACTGGTGCTGTTTCCTGATGCGGACCTGTTGGTTGCAGCCGAGGAGCTCGATTGGGTTCCGTTTCCGTTGCCGGAATCCGTCCCGTTTCCGTTGTCGGTGGAGTGCTGGCTGGCTTCGTTGGGTGAGAAGCCGTAGCTAAGTGGAGAAGGGAGAGGGGTGGTTGAACGCAAGCTGAGAGACGGGTTGGGGCTCTGGTTAGTTGCAGGTTGCTGCTGCTGTTGCTGCTGCGGAGTTGGACGAGAGCCGATAGGACCTACGCGGGAAGGGGAAGAGTCAGTGGTTCCCTTGCCTGTGGGAGAAGTGGTGGAATGCGCCTGTTGCTGCTGGTTAGGCTCAAAGACACCGTACGTCGACGCCGGGTTGGTGTTCGAGGGCGGGGAGGCCGTGGAGGTCGGGGAGCGAGTGCGAGGAGCGGCGGAAGATGCAACGGTGGCACCGGAAGAGGCCTGGGTCTGGCTGTCGGCGTGGGACTGGCCCAAGAACGGGTCGACGCCTCGAGGTGAAGCCCCACGGCCGCTCGGGATGCCGGTAGTAGGAGTAGCGGCCTGCTGAGAGTGCGATTCGTCGCCTGGGCCGGAATTGGGGGTCTGGATGGTAGAGTCATTTCCGTAGAGAGCTCGGTGCTGGCGGGCGATCAGGTCACGGCGGCTTTCCTCGTTCATGGCCGCAGGGCTCATGGATCGATCGGATTTGTCCCCTGAGATATCGGCAAGAAGGCCTTTTTTCCAGCGAAAACAAGGCAGGTTAAAATATAAGTACAAAGACAAAAAAAAAAAGAAGGCCGTCAAGAATATATAGAAGGATAGAAAAAGAGATAAGGTCCGGGGGTGTTAATGATAGGTGTGGGTGGATGGACAGCTTTTCGCAGCTGAATTTATATAAATGAAGGTATGATAGCATATCACGTACTTCGATTGTATTGCTGTTCTTGGTGGTAGTTGCGAAGCTCCCTCTCTCGCTGGGCAGCCAGTCGACGCTTCGCCTGTATCATCTGTTCGGTCTCGTTGGGGCGACCCTGGAAACGTTGTGCGGCGTAGAAGCCCTGAAGATTCGATGCCGAGTGTGGACGGATGGAGTCATAGTCTCCAATTGAATGGTGACGGGAGGGTGCCATTGGTCCCATGGCACGAGGGTCTGTTCAAGTATTAATAACCGATAGACTACCCTCGTCGAAGCCGAGCTCTGTGTGTGAAGGCCTACCGGTGAAATCATATGGTCGACCCATCATCAACGGCATGGAGTCCCGACGGGGCAGACCACCAAAGGTTTTCCCACTCTTCGACAGGTTATCGATGGCTCGTTCCACCTCTTTATAATAGCGTATCAGTACGGTTAGCGTCTACCCTTCTTCTGCAGCACCGGTGATTGATATATCCATACCATCGAATTGAGAAGCGAATGCGTTGGACTCGGTTTCTCTCTGGACGGTCGAGCTAGTGCCTGTGTTTTTCGACGCCCCCACCATCAGCCTCAAAACCATAAAAAAGTTGCCATCTCTACACGTAGCAATACCTGATCGTGAAGGAGGCGCGGAAGCTTCCCAAGAGGCCTGGCGCATAGGAGCCTGCCAGCCCTGTGGTTCGTAGTATGCCATGATGTGGTTGGCTTTTTCCTTCTGGCGAGCGAGAAACTCGAGATTGTTCCAGCGCCTTTCCGCTTATAAATTTCCAGATTCACGAGGAAGAGAGAAAAAAAGAACGACGACCGACGAAACAAAAGCGAGAACGCAGCAAACTAGAATTATCCAGGAGTCAGTAGGATATCTTTCAAGTAGTAAACATGAGCCCAGGAACATCGATAGATACAACCACGGTCCCATCACAGCTTAAGCTTCACCTCCCGCGGATGAAGACGCAGAGGAAGAGCAAGACCAATGCCTTCCGACAAGCAGATTCAATTGTCTAAGGAGAAGAAGAAGAACAAGAGAGAGTAACTCACCAATGGCCCCGTCTTCCACTAAAAAAGAAAAAGGAAAGGTACTTGTGTTATCCGGGTCTTCGCAAGCCCATGGGATCAAAGCTGCGAGTCTCTGCAACAAAACGTCCAGCCTAGAAGAAGAGAAGGACGAGTCCGACGTTTTTTTTTTCGACGGCGAAGAGAGAGGACGAGCCAGCGAAAGACAACGCTTGCGGAAGACGAGAAGATAAGAAAGACGATGAACCTGGTTCTTGCGGGAGCGAAAGGGGGCAAGGAAGAAGACGAAGAAGAAGAGGGAGAAAAAAAAAATTCGATGAGGAGAGAAAGAAAGAAAAATAACGACTAGAAATGCGGCAAATGGCCGGAGGGAGTGACAGCGTATTGTATTTACGAGTCTTACACCACAGAAACAGAGGCAAGTTCACGGTAATGTTACCATACGAGACGGTACTGAAACGGTCCAGGGACCGTCGCGACACATCTTGGACCTGGAACGTCGAGACGAAAGAAGAGAAAATATAGAAGAAGTAGGGGGGGATGGAGACGATGAAGGTAGCCTGTATATATAGGAGTAGTACGGATTGTGGTTGTGAGCATTAGCAAGTTGCAGTCACAGCTACGACAGAGACCAGCATGAGGAGAAGGAGATGAGAAGGTAAAGAAGAAGACGAGAAGAAGAATAGACGAAGAGAGAGAGGAAAGAGTCGAGAGAATCAAAAGCAAATACACATATACTACCACCAGCTGTCAGCGCAGATGATCTCTCAGGTCGATCAGATATCAGATATCGGGTTTGCTGGTTACATCTCGATCCTGTCAGCCATCGAATGCTACATAGTATGTATCGAGATATCTTGCATACATATGCACACATACGAAGGACAGAGCAAAGTCGACTGACCCGCTCTAGCCGGTTGCAAGGAGCAACCCGGCTCGTTCTCATGGCTGTTGCAGGCTGTCATTCCAGCGCCTTTTAGAGAAGCCTACCCTACGATGGTACATAGCACAACAGCCAGAGAAGGACGATGCCATGCCCACAGAGATAGCGCCTTGGAGGCCCACTGGCTGTGAGGATGCCGGAGATAGCCTCGACCTTGGAGGCCGGAATCATGCAGGGGACGAGGTGCTGTGCACTTCCGTTATAGATATACTCCGGGTATATATAAGGGAGCCCATATATATACGGTACCGTTCCTCCAGAGGCATCTTCACACAAACCAAAGGGGATATATATGTATACCGACAGGCAACAAGATATGGACAGAGAAGAGATAGTCATCAGCCAGCAGCGGCTGATCGACCGTGAAGATGATGTGCATCACATCGGCTCGTTACATTAGCATATACGTGAATACGAGACGAGATGGCAACAGCAACGTCCCAGAAGAAGAGAAGATAGAAGTCATCTGCAGAGAGAGGTTGGCGCCATATTCTTCCTTCCCAAGGCTGTATAATAATATGTCCTGTATGATATAGGACATGGATGGGGCTCGCTATCACGACTTACACGCACTCTTCCAGCCCTTTTGGCCATGTGAGTAGACAAGAAGCTTCCTACCATTAATGTATACTAAGTCTACGGAATATACATTATTCACCACGTTCTGACCCCCTTTTTTTCACTCTCCTCGTCATGGTTCGTTTGTTGTCCCCCCAGTAATAACGAAAAGAAAAGGGCATCCATACTTCTCCACCGTGGAAAGTCGGTCTTCGAATCATGCGAGCCTGTTGAGACATTCTGAAGAAGTACCCATCAGAGGGTACTGCATGTGGTTATATTAAAAATCGTTTCCGGACAACGCTCACTCAGCCAAGAGACGGCCATCCTCATCCACTCTTTGTTTCAATCATCCGTCGTGGTCTTAAAAGGGGTGGGATGAAAGAAGTTAAAGTATATTCTGGAGAAGACAATGCTATTTTGGGGATTTGTCTTCGGATATTACCTCGTGGCGCGGGGTGAAGATAGTTAATATTTCTTGCTTTTGGGTTAGTTACGTACTTAACACAGCGTGTCTCCCGTAGATAGATATATATACATCCCCTCGCCTACTCCGGGCCAACATATAGCCAAAGCTCTTAGTCGACCGGGTAATTTGTGAGGAGGAGGGGGGGGGATATGAAGGTGAATAATGTCGGGAAAATAAGGTTATTCTCCTAATATATATATTTGCGCCCGGGTAGATGCATTGTTTTTTATATAGGGTAATTACCCCGTAAATCTGGGAGTGACAAGGCCAACAACGGGTGCCGGTGTCCTATTTTCCTGATAATTAAGCACCAAGCCCATGATGCGTACAGGGCCATGCAGGAGGCAGGAAGAGAAAGGCCGAGAAGGACCCTTGGGGGAATAAAGAGGGAGAAATGGAACAATTCTCGAAAAGAAAAGAATTCTGGGGTAGGAGGCTTTTTTTAAGCAGCAATCCGGACTTGAATACTCGCAATCTGCCCCATGTCTTGTTCCAGCCTGTCTCTTGAGATGGAAGGGGGAAAAAAAGGAGGAGCCGAGAAAAGGTGGACGTACGGCGAAGATATAGAGTCGATCCAGCAACTGTCCAACCCTAAGAGAAAAAGCCTCTTCAAGGATACCATCGAGCAGAGGCGCACATAGTACAAGAAGCAAACTTCGGCTCGTTTCTTTTTTCCAGCTTTATTTTCTGGGGGAGGCCCTCTCTCTCAAGCCTCTCTGGCCCTATTAATTATCATCTCCCTTCCATTTCTTGTCCTTCTCCTCGGCCATAGGGATGGGATCGTAGCATGATAGTCATGGGCATGAGACTGAACAAGGCCATCACACGATCGAACGGCCCTCGTACTAGCGAACAGACCGCATCTCTCCATATCTCTCTGTGCTTTCTTCCTCTTTCTTCTTCTCTTTCCCGCCGTAGTCTGTAGTCGAGTTGTAGATGCTAGACGTTTGCAGCCAAAACCGAAATTCAGGGTCGACCACTCCATGGTCTCAGAGTGTTGGCTAAGTACTCCGGTGTACTCCCATACTCCATAAAAAATATATTATCACTGTCTCTTGTCGTCTTTCTTTCCCCCTTCCTCTTCTTCCTCTTCCTCCCGGTCCTTTTCCTGCTTGTCTGTCGTGGACGCAGGTGGTTTTACTACGGCCGCCCACTGCGACCATCCCCGAAGCGGCCTCCCAAAAAAAAAAAGCCCCCTCTCACTCTTCAACTCTTTACTCTTCCTCAACTTCACTCTTCAACTTCAGGTTCAACCAAAACCAAGATACAAAAGCTGAACATCTCAAACTGCCATCATACTACATCTTAAGTCTGCTGACTCCTCTCGCTGCTTACTCACAGCTGCTTACTTCTCCTGGTACTTGAAATTTAGTTGTTGGCGTTGGTTGTCTCTCTTCTTCAGGACGAATCCCCTTTAGCTTGGCGTGGTTTCTGTACCATGCCGTTCAAGAGGTTACCCATATCAGCGCCGTAGCAAATTCTCGAGCCCCTGGAATTGTTGTGCTGCCGATTGGGTGGCTCGACTCGTCAGCTTCCACGCCGTTCAAAGACGCCCTTTCGCTCGGGACGTATATCCCTCAGCCTCCCTATTTCTACCTATTCTACCTCCTATCTATCTTCATTCGCCATCTACAATCTACAAACAGTCAAAGGGGCTCTCTCCGCTCATAATACGAACGAATACCTTTTATTCACATTCTACGTCAAGGAAAGGGAAAGGGGGAGAAAAAAAGGATTTTATATAACGACAATATCCCTGCCCGCTGATACATCCTGACAAAAGGAACAACTCTATCGAGGAAGAATAAAGGCTGTCGGCTGCTTCATGGGAGCAGGTGTCAATGGGCATGTCGCATCTTCACATAGCAAGGGTGACGTCTCCCCGGTAGCGTCAGATAGGTCTCCCGCCATGGCCTGGGCAGTGCCGCCTGAGATCCCTTACCACCTCCCATTCCGATCTACCCTTACCACTCAGCAGTCCAGCTCCCTACCTTCTACACCATACCAACTACCTCGTGACCTACCCTTCAGATCGAGATCACCCTCGCCACACCGTGGCAGTATATCCCCCAGGTCCGCGCATTCCGAGTTCAATCATACCCTGCCCGCCGTCCGGAAAGAATATGGCGGGGGCTGCAAGTATGAGACGGGCATGGCCCATTTTCGAAGACGGATGCCGTATTCTCTTGGCAGTGACATGTTGCCGGATGAGCCTGGCCCGCTCAAAGAAAAGCTAGAGCCGGAAAAGGAAGCAAAGCTGACTGAGGACATAAAGGAGCTCTACCGGAAGCTACTACCGTCCGCAGAAAGTGAACAGAGAAGGGCACAGTTTGTACGGAAGCTAGAGAAACTACTCAACACACGATGGCCCGGAAATGAGATCAAGGTCAATGTTTTTGGCTCTTCTGGGAACAAGCTCTGTACAAGTGTATCGGACGGTATGTTGGGGGTGATTTGTGGTCATTGATGGATAATCAAACTAATTTGTTATGGCTATAGTTGATATCTGCATAACGACACCCTCCAAATGCTTCGAACCAGTTTGTGTGTTAGCCGACTTTCTGGCCAAAAGTGAGCCGCCCTTCTGCCCCGCTCTTCTTTCCCCTTTGCTAAGATTTAATTGTCCTAGGCGGGATGGAACGGGTGGTCTGTGTATCACACGCAAAGGTTCCCATTGTGAAAATATGGGACCCAGAGTTGCAGGTGGCTTGTGATATGAATGTCAACAATACCCTAGCACTCGAAAATACACGAATGGTGAAGACATATGTCGAGCTCGATGACCGAATACGGCCTTTGGCAATGCTGATAAAACATTGGACAAAACGGCGCATCCTTAATGATGCTGGTATGGTTCCCCGTGATACTTTCGTTTCATTATTCTTCTTCCAGAGACTAAAACTCGACACCCCGTAGCACTTGGAGGCACACTCAGCTCATATACATGGATATGTCTTATCATCAACTTCCTACAAACACGAATACCGCCCATCGTCCCGAGCCTTCAGAAGCGAGTTGCCGCATCAGAGGCATCAACAGATAGCTCTTCCATCACTTCCACGGCATCTTGTGCTTCATATACGTCGTTTGATGACGATGTAGAAAAGCTCAGCAGCTTCGGCGAAGAAAACAAATCTTCTCTGGGTGATCTATTATTTCAATTTTTTCGCTATTATGGCTACGAAGTCGACTACGAAAAGAGCGTCATGTCGGTCCGCCATGCAAAACTTATATCCAAGGAAGAGAAAGGCTGGCATTTGCTACAAAATAACCGATTGTGTGTAGAGGAACCGTTCAACACGTCGAGGAATCTGGGCAATACCGCAGACGATACCTCGTTTCGTGGTCTCCACCAGGAGCTAAGAAGAGCGTTTAAAGCTATCTCGGAAGGAAAGCTGGATGAATGCTGTGAGCAGTATGAGTACCCACCCGAGGAGGAACGAGTTTGGGAACGCCCAGCGCCACAGCCGCGACCAGTTCTCACTCCTATGCCGCCAGCCCATTCCCGTGGAGGTAGAGGCGGAGGAAGGGAGGACGAAATCAAAATCATTATAATCGTGGATCAAGCGAGGACGACGTGCGTCTAGTGCTGCCAACCGCTCGAA